GTGGAGTTATTGTGCAGTGAACAATAAATCGCTCTCTACAGTATCTTGTGTACCGAAATTGAAAAAATGCTAAATTAAAGGCAGTGGCTCGGGAAAATTGCTATCGCGAGCTTTTCACACCTACATGGCCTCCTGGATACGTTGATCCAGTGTTGTGCTTGAAAAAACCAAAAAATGCTTTTTAAGCGCGGGCGAGGGAGGAAGGACTTCCCGCCAACATCGCAAATGGCTGCCTGAGCCGGTCAGCCAATTATCGCCAAGATGGGTGGAGTTACAGTCTCCTGCAGCCAGTCGCTGTTTATAGCGCGAATCCCTCGCCCATCCCCTTCACCTATCTACACGGCAGGAAAACGCCGTAAAAAGCACTTTTTACTTTGCAGCACAACACTGGACTTAGCGCATCCAGAAGACTCTGTAGGCGTGGAAAGCTCGCAGTCCCCGTTTTCCTGAACCATGACTTCAAAGGTATTTGTCCTGTGTTTCACCAATAGTGACTTAACACATTTGCATGAAAGCTTGCTGTACCAATCATAAATGCCACCCTGCGGAACTCAGGCACCTGGAGGGTCAGGAGATGAATGGCTGATATGCATCTCGAAATACTGCTGTGTAATACTTACCATACAGTCGCACCTTCGAAAAGCAGAATCAAACTCGTTCTCTCTATAAGTAATAAGCAATGCTTCGTATCCCGCACGGGTATGCTCACAAAAAAAGAAACGAGAAATTGGTTGACTACAATGGTTTAATGCCTTGAGATAGACTTTGAGATTTCATTTTCATATAGCTTGAGAATGAATGTTTTGCTGTGTATAAGCACAACCTTCCAGCTTTTCAAATTTCTTTCGTTTGAAGCAATATGTGGTTTCAGTTTCACTATATCTGCACATTAAAGTACGAGAGTAAAAATTCTGTGTCAGCTGTAAATTCCTTTTTGCTTAGAGACCACCATCCACAGCGCTTCTGCGGACTTTCACTCTGGCGTGGCAAATGCTCCGTTGGGAAAAGGGAGCGCGCGATTGAGACAGGCTGTGACAGAGTCCCCTCATAAGCAATGTCTCTGAGAAAGTACAGTTTATATAAAAGATGTTGACGGCAATTAGTGCATTTGCACAGAAAAAAGATAAATGACACACCGCGCCGAATGACACATTTTACTTTAAAGGGTGTAAAATGCTGCATGATCAAAGAGTTAGCAATGACGAATCAGCAATTAGTATGCCTTTTTGAAGGTCTAAAAATTTGCGGATATTAACAAAATCCAGAACTCTAGCAAATTCTGTATCATTCACTGAATACAGCCCTAACAGAAATAATTGTAAGATCACAGGCTTCTTGACATGATGCAAATAAAGAGAGGGATCTGTAAAGTGTTATGCCGGTATATACCCGCTTGCGCAGCTGTGCTGAATTCCAAAGAATTAGAGATACCGCGGTGCTCTGAGCAAGGCAACCTGACCAAGTGGATGGTGAGAACATAGTATGGAATGAAGCTGAATTGATGCTTATGTGTATGAAAAGAGAAGTGAGTCGAATATGCACCAGTAAAGCTTGAGCCAAAATTGTACCTTCGATTTTATAGCCAACAGACAAAAATAGAGAACAACAAACTCCATATCATGTTTGTTCAATTACCTCCACTGTTCGTCCTTCTGACTCTATCAAAGACTCCTCAACAAATTTGTTTGTTTAGAGCAAGAAGAATGACACCTCTTATTCTCTTGTTTCCTGAAATAGTAAACTACTTCCAACGTTTTGTTATACTTGATCCTTCACAAATTTTCAAATATATGTATCATCGACCAATCGATGATTCCTGATACCCGTGCCAAATGACGTCATAGCCGAGTGGGCGGGCCATGTCTGCCATGCGTCCACCTGGGAGGTCTCACCTCACTCTTGATCACACGTTGACCACCCTAGGTCACAATCTCACGCTCTCGGTTACAGTAATCCCAATAAACCACTGAACCACCATTCTTGTTGTCTATTTCACAGTATTACATTGCATACCGAGGCAAAACCCCTCGAAGAGTCTACACCCGCTAATAGCTTGGTGCATCGGCCAAAGTAGCCAATTCTTCCCGCAACAGAGTGTCACAACTCTGTCTGCCTGGAAAAGAGACTAGCTCCTCGAGCAAATTCACACTCCCGTGCCCAGCACCTGGAGTTACTCCTGTACTAAACGTACCTGGAGACCTTTGCACATTACTGCAAACTCACTCCCGTGCCCTGCACCTGGGAAACTCCTGTACCTACGTACTTGGAGCAGATCACTGTAGATCAAACAACAGCTGATCAGATTTTTGCGCATTTTTGACGCAGATCACCGATTCAAACGCTACAAGCTAAGCAATCGGAATGTCTCTTTTTTGCTACAAAGAGCCAATTTTGATGAGCACAAACTCGCTCAAGAATTTGGTAGTTGCTTACAATGAGTATACGCCACAAAAAACTTATTCTACCATAAATGAAGAAACCTGTACAGAGTGTGAGAAAAGAATTGCCCTTCTACAAAGTGGCATCAAATTACTGCAACAGGGAAGAGAAGATTTGCAGAAAATGTACGATGCAATCATGGAAGAGTACAAAAATTGCAAAAGTAGATCCGATAAAAAAGAGTTGCAAACCGAAATCAAACAGATAGTTGGAGAAACACAACTACACGTGACTATGGCAAAAGCAAACGATCTAATCTTCATATTACGTGGCCGATTAGACGAAAATATATGCGACAGAAGCATAATACAGGCTAAAATTGGGCAAGTCAGCCAAAAATTACAAGTCGTGACCACTGTCACAGATGAGATAGAAACCCTGAGCATAGAAAATCAAGACTCTGAGCAAAACGGGATACATAACGATGCTGGAACGAGTACTCCAGGCACGGCAAATCCTAACTCATACAGTTCTGAGCAAAATTACACAGAACAAAGCCATTGGCGATCAATTAAGCCGCCGCAAGCAACTTTGCCAGAGTTCAACGGCGACCCAGAAGAGTTTGCGGAATACTGGGCTGTTTTTGAAACGCTAGTTCACAAATCTAGAGAAGTGGGCATTCCGGAAAAGATCATGCTGCTCAAGCAAAGTCTTCGCGGGCGAGCGCAACTTACCATAAAGGGCATAAAACTTATTCCAGAGAACTACAACTGGATAATTAAAACCTTGCAGGAAAAATACTGCGATCAACCAACTAATAGATCACAAATAGTGCAAAAATTGCTTAATTTGAGTCCTGCAAACAATGCTGCGGACAGCTGCTCCTCAGTTTTCGACGAAATTCAAGTTTTAGTCAATCAAATGACGTCTACTGGGTATGATGTATCGATTACTGACGACCCCATGTGGTATGAGACCATTATCGCCAAGTTCCCACAAGGCATCGTAAAGTCTGTTCTGATCTCTGGCCAAACGCTAGACAAACAAACAATTGGTGATCTTCTGGCGCAATTGAAGAAAGAAATTGCCGCCAAGTGCTTCGTCGAAAACAGACTAGGCCATACCATAAACAATAAGGTCAGCACTTCTAAAGATAAGCATGTCAATCAACGACCTCATGCTGCAGATAAGTGCATATTCTGCCATAGAAATAACCATGCATCAATGTCGTGTCGAACAATAACAGATCAAAACACTCGCCGCAAAATACTAAGAGACGAAAATAGGTGCTGGAAATGCTACTCTCCAGGACATACTAGTTATGACTGTAGAAAGTCAGACTGTCCACTCTGTGGTCAAAAACATCACTCCAGTTTGTGTTTTAAGAGGGAAACAAATCAACAAAAGCCTCAAAATCAAGCAAATTGGAATCATAACCGCCGGAATCCGGTCCAAAACAATTCGAGACCGGCCTTCCAAAATAATCGCGGTCAACGATTTGTGGCAGATAATGCCGACGCCAACAGAATGGCTTACAATAACATCCATATGGGTGCAAAAACTTCACAACCTTCAGATTTAAAGGCTGGTACCAACAAACAACTCGTACTAATGACAGCCGAAGGTAACATTTGGAACGTTCGAAGACAGCAATTCGAAAAAGTGCTATTTTTCTTCGATTCTGGTGCACAAAAAACAGTGATCGAGGAAAAATTAGTAGATCACTTTGGACTACCGAAGCATACCACGGAAATCTGTACTATGTCGGGTATCGGCGGTCACACCGAGACGTTTAAAAGTCATGTCATACCGTTAAAAGTCGGAACCGTTTTCGGCGAGAAACTTGAGATTACGGTACAAACAAAACCAGTAATTACCAATGGATTTCCGTCAGTCAAACTCGATATAACGGATATAGCTTTTCTGAAAGCAAATAACATATGCTTGGCAAATCCATGCATACGTGGAGAACACCAAATTCCACACATTTTAGTGGGTCTCGATTATTACCATGACCTAGTTATCGATCCAAAACATGGTGAAAAAACTCCCTCAGGATTTTACATCGCCAATACGGTCTTTGGACCTACGATTTATGGTCGTGGGCTGTAAGGGTGGTTCCTTGGCTTTACTGTAGCCTGAGGCGAATAGCGCCTGTTGAAGTGTGTTATACAGAACACATAGCTAATAAGCTTTATGAACAGACGACGTGCACGTATGAGTGCAATGGTAGAATGCTAACGATAATAGGCATGGTAGAGTAACATAACAGACTATCACAGCAGGTCATGCTTATGGCATGACCCGTACGGTACTTCAGTGAGATAAGAGTTACGGCTGTTAAGAAGGTGCCGACAATAGCGGCACACTCCGGCCATCGGGAAAATTGAGAACAGCGAAATGAATTACAAGTCCAACATGCGTTTGTGAATGAGACTTGTATCGCAGAAAGTCACGACTTTTACGCTAATCAAGCAGTAGGAGGCATATACACAGAAGAAGGTGCCGCAAGTCGGCACATAGGAGGCATATACACAAAAGAAGGTGCCGTAAGTCGGCACACTCCGGCCGGGTACGAGAATGGAAGCCAAGGGACAGAAGAAGGCGAATGAGTGATCTACTTCCTCGTGGTGCTTTTTCCATCTGTCGGGATCACGTAGTGGTCTTTGACATAGTGGATCGCAGGTGATTGTGAAGCAGAGAGCACGACCGGTGATGCCGCATTGATAGAGCAATAGAGAGGTAGACAGCTGTAAAATATGGATATGACGCTTTTTTTGTAAATCCATCTCTAGCGGCGAGTGGTATACAGAATCTGAAGTACTGCTGCTTCGTTTGTAGTCGTTCTTCTCCTTGCATCGAAGATGCTGCTTCGCACAGAGAGGTTCAATTACATCGCCGCACTCGTTTGCCTGTGGCAATCTCGGTGTCATGACCTCCATCATCGGACGCTCACTTACAGTAGTTAGTAACGTGCTATCGATTTCTTCGCTAGAAATCCTCTTGTTATCAACATCTTCACCTTTTTCATTGTTGTCGTTGTTAAAGAATTTGAGAACTTCATTGCTCGGTCCTTTGAGTGTAACGTTCAGATCTGCAGACTTCGTCATTGGCATTGGTTCTGATGGTGATTTGCTGCCGTTGCTATTCTCATCCTTTAGTTTGAACAGGGTTTGTCCGTTTAAATTTTTCATGCCATTCATGAGCCTTGATATGGGAAATTTCCTTCCGCTACCTGCTAACTCTTGCAAATCATCTGCCATGCAATCTTGCAAGAGATATAGAAACCTTCTAGCGTCAAAAATGGTTTCAAATAATCTTATCTCTTCTTCCAACGCGTCCCAATCCTCCTCCATCATTTCCTTTGCCGCTTTTGACTTGGCGTCTTTGTGTAGTTCCTTCAATATATCAAATTCCATTTGTAGCGATTCGATGCGATCTTCGATATCCGTTTTGCATCTCGCTAGTGTATCCAGATGGCCATGGCATAGATCTTGGCGCATTTGATCATCATCTGGAAGCATAATTTTCTCACCGTGGCACGCGTACTTCTGCAATAGTTCTGCGAGTTCCGTGGTAGACGTTCTGAATACATCTGTGAGGAAAGGCGAAATCCTCATTGTTGCTGTTGTGCTGCTCTTAAGCAAGCACGTTATCGGTCTTATTTGGCCGATGCACCAAATGTAAGGGTGGTTCCTTGGCTTTACTGTAGCCTGAGGCGAATAGCGCCTGTTGAAGTGTGTTATACAGAACACATAGCTAATAAGCTTTATGAACAGACGACGTGCACGTATGAGTGCAATGGTAGAATGCTAACGATAATAGGCGTGGTAGAGTAACATAACAGACTATCACAGCAGGTCATGCTTATGGCATGACCCGTACGGTACTTCAATGAGATAAGAGTTACGGCTGTTAAGAAGGTGCCGACAATAGCGGCACACCGGAGCGCTACAGTGCCTATCAGCCTTATGATTTCGGTCATAATCAGCTGATAGGTTCCTGTAGCACTTCTTTCTCGCCTGGATTCTTTCAAATCGCCAATTCGTCAAACAATTCGTCTGCAATCGCCGTCGTCTTCAACAAGCTGCACCTCAACAACTGCTACTACCGTCACCGTCTACTTCTACTACTACCAGCCTCTTTTCGTCATAAATCCAATGGTTCACCCTCAACGACTAGCCGCACAACTCACTCAACGCCACAACCAACCACAACAAGCCGATTATCATCATGCTACTTGTAGATGCAGTTGTGAACACCTAGTCATGTATTTAACTATTATCATTATCCATATGTATGTATCCCCTTGTCTGGCCGGAGTATCATCGACCAATCGATGATTCCTGATACCCGTGCCAAATGACGTCATAGCCGAGTGGGCGGACCATGTCTGCCATGCGTCCACCTGGGAGGTCTCACCTCACTCTTGATCACACGTTGACCACCCTAGGTCACAATCTCACGCTCTCGGTTACAGTAATCCCAATAAACCACTGAACCACCATTCTTGTTGTCTATTTCACAGTATTACATTGCATACCGAGGCAAAACCCCTCGAAGAGTCTACACCCGCAAATAATATGAAACCTTAAACATTTTAGCTTAAAGCTCTCTTCGATGTTCCTACCGTACTACAGTAATGAGAGCGATGATGATTCGCTTTATACTGTAAATCTGGGTTGGAACCTGTTTTACTAAATTTTAAAGCTAATCAAAAGACTTTGTGAGAAAGGACTTATTACCGGTTAAAAAATGCGCACTTACTTTTGGGAACACCCTTTATTTTGAACTCAACAGGTTGATTAATATTAGGAACCTCGAATGGTGTGTACTGGACTTTCATGGGAAAACATACTCTTTTCCAGACTGTCATCATATAGAACATCAGAAGCATCTGCTATATACAGCTAGTCGTATTTCATTACATGCGAATGCACGTTGTACACATTGAGCAATGAAGTAGTCGCACAGTGAGCTAAATTCATACCAAATATGGCCATTTTTTGCAAATTCAGTCGCTTGCATGTACTTGGATGAAATACGAAGCACTGCTTATTACCATACCTTCGACAGTCTAGAGACAGGGCGTCAAAAGTGAAGGTTGTTTGAACATCTGACGTCATAAATAGTGAAGGTTGTTTAAAGAAGATCAGAGAAGAGAATATGAAGTAAAACAGATATAAAAAGCGAAAGAAACTGCTGAAAACCGGATGAAACGCTGCAAAGAGGTCTGAAATCTTTCATATGGCGGCTTTCCGAAGTGCAAGTTTTCGCTCCAGGACCAGCAATTCGCAACGCGGGGTCGATTTTTGATGCGTCCTTTAAATTTTTACCCCAGCAATGACGTTCGTGTTTCCTGGGACGTTGTCTAGATTGTTGCTCTTATTGTTCTGAGCAATAATCGCCCAAGCTGGAAAAAAACCGATGCGAAAGCACTGAAACAGAACAAGGTAAAGAAAAACGCACTTTTTACGATTTTTCGCAAAAAATTGCACAATATTCGAAGAGATAAGGGCTGGGTGGTTGTCTACATTATGAAAAAAAGCAAGATCTATAGAATGCACGAAAAAACCGCGTGAAAATAGTTAAACTAGGAAAAAAACAAGAGATTTTTGAAAACAAGGTTTTTGCCGGATTTCTCGACCAGATCAAAAAATTTGGTTTTGGGATGTCGTGAGCGTGAAAATAGAAATCAAGAGCTTCAAAATGATATATAGCTTGCTAAAATTGGGTTCGAAACAGCGAAGAAAAGGGTACCAGAGCCAAATGCCCCGCGCCCCGTGTTTGGGGTAGCGAGGCAGCGCGCAGCGCGCGGAGACGCAGACGAGTAGCGGAGACAGACCAGAGCCGACGGGGCATTTGGCTCTGGTCGTAGATCTCAGCGGGGTCTCAACGAAACCCTGCAACATTATATATCATTCTGATCGCCATGACACGGCGAGGAGAACTGGCAACGTCCCAAGCTTTGAAAATCATTCGTTAATGAGATAGACCAGCGTTTTCGTGCGCGGCTCTCTGCGCAAGATTTAAGCGCAGTTTCTCGTTTTTATTAACTCCAATAGCTTTTCTAAACTTCTGATTCTCGATTTTGTTCAAATGAGAGGATAGCTGAGAAATTTTGTCTTGAATTCTCGCGAAAATTCCACGGAAACCTTCTTTTTAAGGTAAAAGGCTATAAAAACGCAAATTCTCGATCTCGATGAGATAAGTTAAAGATATTACCCCTATATTTGCTTCATTAACATTCGTTCCGATATAGTCAGGATAATAACATCCGGGGCTTCGCCCCGGATGACTTCGGTTTTTTTCTAGGTGAAGGTTGTGCCCCCCCCATAGCCCTCAAAGTGAAGGTTACCAGAGTACGTGGCTCTATGTATCGAGGGTATGCTTATTACCATCTTCGAGCTCGGGAAGCTTCTGCTTCTCGAAGGTGCAGGCTGTGTGGTACGTATCACATAGTTGTGTAGCGAGAAGTAGATTAACCATTCAACCCAGTCCCCATCCAGGAACTAGTTCCGCGGGGTGGCCTTCCTGAATGGTACATTAAAGAGAAGTCAGTAAGATATTTTTTGAATGGTACAATATACTCTTGATTGTGTTTCAGTCGACCAGACGTGATTTGTTGGTTGCGTTTGTCCGAAACTTCTTTCACGATATACTTTGGGTTGAATAAAAATCGTCTTTGTTCAAAATCATAGGTAACTAGGTTTTTTACGTGGAAAATGGCTGAGACGATTTTGAGTGCAAGATACCAATTCGTTCAGGCTCAAGATGATCAATATTTTGGGATTATCGAATAGACACCTACCGCCGTGAATAATCATTGATGCTTGGACATCTGTCACAAACCATGTATCCACAGAAGAACACTTATCTCTTGCTCGCGTAGCCTTACCTATTAGCAGCTTCTCCGAAATTGTAAAGTTACTGAAAGGTGCATACTTTTAAGTACTTCGTACCGGGTCCTCTTTGTACAATTTTACAGTACTCATCGTCTACGAGTGCCACAGTGCCCTATGCGAGTTAAGGAAAGCTTTTTGCAAGTGCTCGGAATTGTGGTACCTCTAAAATCCTAGGCTTTAGAACCCTCCCGTTACCGTTACCGCAGAATTAACGAGCAACTTAAAGATTCCCACAAAATGAATATGACGAAAAAAAGGTTCAAATAGGTCAATTCAGAATGGCAATAGAAGGTCCGGCAAAAGGGGTTTCATCCGCAAACATTTAACATAAAAAAACGCTAGGACGACTTCGAGTAACCAGATAACAAGCGAAGGTTTGGTGTACCATTCATGGGAACCTACCCTGCGGAACTAAGTTCCTGGATGGCCAGAAGCTGAATGGCTTATGTACTTCTCTCACGAAGCTACGCGGTAAGAACCACATGGCCGAATACGGAGAAGCGGATACCAGCTAGTCGTTCAGTGCTCGCTAAAAGTGACCAGCAGTGCTCCGTACTTCACACAAGTACGCTTGGATGGGAGAGCTTGGAGAAACTATATCATGAGAAAACCTACTATTTCAGTCTCTCGTACTTTACATAGTATATCCACTGTCTGTCTACAAAAGATGATACAATTGATTTACAATTTCAACCAAATCGAACATTGAAGAACTCTATCAGCCTTCAAATATACATACATATATGCTAAATAATGTACATATGTTAAAAGGATTTTATCCAGGTGAAAAAATTCACTATATTAACAAATTATCATTAGAAACAAGGAATCGGAAACGTGATATTCGCAATTCTGAATGAGGTTAAAGTTTAATCACTGCTTAATAGTATTTTGAAAACTGCTTTGAGAAAAGATATTTCGATATAATTTTTGATTGAAATTTCAGTTGGTTGAGTTGGATACGATTTAAGGACCTGGAACTCGTGGTTTCCCACTCATTTGAAGTCGCGGAGTTCTGTGGAAAAGTTCTGAATTCTATTTTAGGAAGCCCTATTTCATTCCCGACTTTTCTACATGCATATTTGCAGATTAAGACAAATTTATAGTTGCACTGCCCTTTGAGGCCGAAGTATTTGCAGATGCAGAAAGAAAACACCAACAACTGACAAATTCTGTATTATTTATTCAATACAACCTAACAGAAATAGTTGTAAGATCACAGGCTTCTTGACATGATGCAAATAAAGAGAAGAATCTGTAAAGTGTTATGCCGGTATATATCCGCTTGCGGAGCTGTGCTGGATTTCAAAGAATTCGAGATACCGCAGTGCTCTGAGCAAGGCAAAATGACCAAATGGATAGTGAGAACATAGCATGGAATGAACTTGAAACAGTGCATATATGTACAAAAAAAACAAGAAAAAGGAACAGAAGACACGATGTGAGTCGAATGTAAATGCACACGTAAAAATTGAGACAAATTATTGTACCTTCAGTTAACAGCCAATAAAACATGGAATATAGGGAACAAGAAAAGTGGGATGAATTTCACAAAAAACTAAGCTAAGCCATCTAAATGTTTTGCAGATCATGTCTGCATATCTTCCACTTTAGGTTAGTGATGCAGTCGACTGGCAATGTTTCGAGCATGACTCACAGAAAACGAAACTATTGAGAAAAAAATAGCGATCAAAAATATGAAAAAGCTAATGTTTTGATCAGAGTCGTCGGAAGCTTAGCTAGTTTTATGACAGACTAGTTGACTTACCCGGCTCCGCCCGGCCCTGTCATTATTTCGTAATCAGCATGCTCGATTGCCCCCTGTGCCAACTCCCGCCCCGTAGCTCAAATTTTGCAAAAAATCGATAAAATCGATATCGATCGATGACGAAAAGTAGCCTATGACACCCGCCGGGGCCCGAAGTGTATGTTGCCAAGTTTGGTCCGGATCGATTCAGAAATGGAATTCTCTGTTCGGAACATACGTACACACAGACATACATACATACAGACAGACAAACAAACATTCAGCTTTATATATAGGATGGTAGCCTCCCTCGCTGTTTTCTTAGAGCTGATTCCTTTTTTACACTCGAACAAGAGCCTCACACCAAGAAAGCTCACACTTTGCAGGAACAACACTCTTTTTTCCCTTGGATGGATTAACAAAACCCGTTACCCGTGTTCAAAACGCCTTCGAATTTTAAATTACAGTTTCGTTGAATAACCTAATTCTTTTGAGCGCTATCACTGGAACTATATGAACACTAAAAAACCGTGATTCTACATTCAGCGTGATAAGAACTGACTGTGCATTTAAATTTGCCAAAACCACCCAACCCTGATGCATTTCAACAAAAAATCCTGTGTTTTGAATTTAGAATTTTGTTCACTTTCAGACGTGCAAAAGGAAATTCCTGGATTTTACATTCAGACTTTCCTCTTCAAAATAATGGCAGTACAGATGTACAGGGTGATTTTTACAGTTTCTGAACAACAAAAGGGGGGAGAGGAAAATAAGAATGAACCTCTCAGACAATACAGGAACTTTCCGAGGGCTGTGGGGGGGGGGGGGAACTTTCCGCAGGTCACCTTGGAAAGTTTCCGTAAAGCCCTCGGGAAGTTCTGCAAATAAGCTCCCGGGAACTTCCCCAAAAACGGAAAGTTTTCGAGGACTTCCTCGGGAAGTTCCTAACTGTGTTGCTTTAAACATCAAAGTTCTCGGGAAGTTCCCATCTTCACGGCTCCATTCACCTACAATGCCAAATGAAATCATCGGAAAGTTTGGCAAATTACTTTGCTCCTAGGGAAGTTCTCGTTTTGTCTGAGTACCAGAACATGCTGATAGTCTATAATGGCCAAGAAGAGTTAAGTCATGACTTCCTCTTTCCTAATTCTTTTCACCAGGTTTCAGCCGGGAATAGTCTGCCAAGGACTAAAATTATTCGAAAAATGAGGATTTGTACTCACTGAGCTTAGGATCGACTTAAAATGGGCAGTTATAGTGCATGATTTGTTGAAAATCTGTGGCAGAAAGACATTCATGAAGTGTGGAAGTGTCCTTTTGGATACGGTTGCTGCACGCTAGGCGGTCAGATTCTACGATTCACATGGAGTTTTCGCTTGCGATGTATTCAGTTTGCTTTTCGTTGACCCCGAGTAACCTACCGTAGGCAGACATCTATGAAACCTGATCACCTACCCTATCAGAAGGGTACTTCTATAGATCAGAAGCTGCGCCTTGCGGAGCTGACTTGAAAACAGCGCATCTGAATTCAGAATTCGACCACTCTGAACCAAAATATGGCGATGCGACTTGGATTTCGGTGAAATACATTTGGTGACTTTTTCGACGAATACGAGCCGTAAAACTTGGGTAATCGAACTCTCAAAGATTATTTAGGTTGGCGATTTGGGAGGTTCATTCATAAATTCCTAACTGTTTGCGCAACCGTACTCTTTTCGAACGAACTAGACTTGCCATAATCAGAAACAGCACTTTACTTCTGTTTTCGTTGCAAAAACACTTTGGCGCAGCGCAAAAATGATATATGATTAGTAATTCAACCCAGACACCACAACTGGGATGGCACGCCGCGTTCTATAAAAACTGAGGTGAAACTTGTCTATTGTGACTGGACCCGTATTTGCACTTCTTCATTTTATTCAATCTCCGTGTAGCAAACCTCTTCTTGAAAAATAGTAGAAGCAGGATATGCTTTCTTTCATCTTATAACTGGAAACCATGGTCATTGTTACACAATAGATGAGTATTCTAGTGAAGACTTATTTGTGCACTTTCTTATTGCTTTTTTTTATGAAGGGGCAGGATACAGTCTGCTTGAACAGATTTACACAGCATCTATCTAGACTACATCGTATCAAAGGCATCAATAATAAAGTTTTAGCAGGCTTGTACATCAACAGGCACATCACGAGGCTTTAGAATAGAACTTTGCAAAAACAATCTGAGTAGGAAAATAGCGAAATGGAAAATTCATGTCGAATTCTTATAAACATATTACAACGCGAATAATATCTAGATCGAACGAAAAGCAGTTAACTGAATTCATCTGATAGTCTTCATTTTCTCCAAGTCCAGTCTTTTGCGCATACTCGTGTGAGATACGAAGCAAACTTCACTACTTCAAACGAATAAAGCGGCGATTTCGCTTCTCGAGTGTGAAGTCTGTGTGGTATGTATCACATAGAATTTTAGCGAGAAGTAAATTATTTACCATTTATTGTTGTTGCCATCCAGGAACTGAGCTCCACAGGGTGGTGTCATTGAATGGTACATTCAACGTCCGGTCACGTGTCTATCAGTTAGGTAATCGGTTCGGATCATAGGAATCAGCGGTTTTGTAAGTACCCTTTCAAGGAAATTTGAAGCGGAGCACTTGAAGGCGGCATTTGAGCAGATTTGAACTTTCTGGCTATTACCATAATCTAGGGCTAGCACCTCGAACTAAACTAATGCGCAATTTTTTCTCTAAAGACTGTTTCCAAAAAGAGAAACCGCATGCAAATCACAAGAGCCGGGTGCGGGCCGCCCACATCGGTGTGCCGCCCGCCTCCCTGTACGAGATCCTTTTAGTTTTCGACGCGTTTTAGCATGATCGAATGCATATTTTCAGCTTGTTCATGCTTACACTTGACAACCCTAGTATCCGGGTCTAATCCAAGCTTTTGCAAGTTTTTTTCGAAAAGAGGATTCTGCGAAGTATTCACGCTCTTTAGGTTTCATATCTCGGATCACCACTATGAAAAAGCTCGAGAATCTGCCCGTATGCTACTCTTGAAAATAGTTTTCCTAATTACGACTAAAAACTGCAGTTTAATTGAATGACCGCTAGGCCGAATTTATGATGAAGCAGCACTTTACTCCAGCTTCTATTTTCTGCGCATACTCTTGTGAAATACGAAGCGCAGCTTATTGGAATCAACGAGCGCGACTCGGTTTTGCTCTTCGAGTGCAGTCTCTGTGATTAGTACCACAAAGAAATGTAGCGAGAAGTATATAAACCACTAGTTGACTTACCCGGTTCCGCCCGGCCCTGTCATTATTATATTCGTAATCAGCATGCTCGATTACCCCCCTGTGCCAACTCCCAGCCCCGTAGCTCAAATTTTGCAAAAAATCGATAAAATCGATATCGATCGATGACGAAAAGTAGCCTGTGGCACCCGCCGGGGTCCGAAGTGTATGTGTGCCAAGTTTGGTCCGGATCGGTTCAGAAATGAAATTTTCTATTCGGAACATACGTACATACAGACATACAGACATACAAACAGACATTCAGCTTTATATATAAAATTCAAATTCATTCCATCCAGGAAATAGGTCCGCAGGGTGGTTATCCTTGTATGGTACAAAAAACTTAACCTTTTCGCAATCCATTAAATACCCAGAAATAATGGTTTCCAAACTTTGCTCGACATTCTTCAAAATCGAACAAAATGCACAACATTCTTCTCAAGAGCCAGACATCCAAAAAAGTCCTCGTGCCGACTTTCTGCAGAAATACCGAGTACTTACCTGCGCGGTCCTAAACATGTACTTCATCAAGATGCAGTTGCGTACAAGTTTGTACTGTGCCATTCACGGATGCCCACCCTGTGGGACCCAGCTCCTGGACAACTGAATCGCTCAAATGTACTTTTGCGGGCAGTGCAGTATGGTACTTACGCACAGCCGCATCCCGGAGAAGCGGACTTGGCCCCGTTCTCGCTTAGAGTAACGGGCAACACAAAATGCTTCGTAAACGAGTAAGCTTGAGAAAAAATATGGGATAAGATGTTCAACACTGAACGCAAATCAAGCGCCTTTTCAATGGACTCTAATATGTCATTTTTGTGATTTCTATAGGCGCAGCAAAACATTCAGTCTACCAACTGATTTGAATTGATTTTCAGGAAACCTTGACTCCAAGCGTAGATTCATTACTTACGTATCTGTGTGAATACTTGTCAATATAAATTCATATCGATGTAGATATGTGCGCACTACACTTTCTATCAACTACGAACTCCTGTTGCACAGGGATTACACATCCGCCACGCAACGGCCTTGCGTGCGGAATATCAATTGGTCTTTCTGCATCGGGCAAATGTGGCACCTCTGGCAAATTGCGCCAATGGGAAAGGAAATAGACGATTGACACAGCTTTCTGCATGAAACGACGTATGCTAGTTTGAACGGCGCAACATCCTACGTGATCAAACAAGTAGACAGGAATATCATTTATTTTGCTTTACAGTGAAAAATTAATTATAGGGTGCGTCAAAAGTCTGG